CTGAATTTAAATAAACCGACTAAATTAATCTATACGAAATTGAGTATGATTTTGGTGTTAATTTTTGTAGTCTTGCAATTCGTATGAAAGTGTAGGACGCCATGTAAAAATTTTAATTGAAAAAGTGCGCCGCGCTATGAAAGGTTTGGGAACTACTGGTCTATGTAATAAATGCACAAGTGAAATCTACCAATAATGAGGCACAGGTTAGTCCACACGAAGCGGATTTCATTGGCTCACCTCTCGTTGTGTGGAGAAGAGCAGAACGATGCAGGTGATCTGACCGATCAACGTAAGACACATGATGACGGAGTACTGAAAAGGTGAAAGCAAAAGGGAGAGAGAGAGCTCAGCAAAGAGTTCAGCAGACGAAAGAGATTCATTCGTAAGAACAAGAACCGTGTCCATCCTAGTGCATGTGAAATGATGACATTATTGTGAAGACTTCCATTTCACATGAAGGTGTGTTTGATGAAGAGATGTGGAGGTCGACCTCATCTGAAGACGACGGCCGATTCAAGCTGTCCTGCAACTGTTTCGCGTTAATACGATCATCAGGTTGACTCATTTCACGAGGCATCCTCCATCGTTTTAGGTGAAATGGGATGAGCTTTCATTCATCATTCGGTAGACATCATCACAGCTGCAACTTATTCTTGTCAAAGTCGCGAATTCACAAACACCAAGTCAAAAAGGTTGTCTGGCTATATCCACCTCTTATACTCATGAGTAGCATGACAAATAGAAAAGGGAATAAACCAAATTATTCTACATCTATCTATCTATCTATCTATCTATCCATCAATGTCTATACATTTTCACTTTTAATTATGAATGAATACGAGGCGTAAGAAGGGGGTCCGATAGCCTTTTTGACTTGGTGCTTGTCAATTTGAGACGGTGACAAGAATGCGTTTCAGCTGTGACGATGTCTGTCATGTCATGGAAACAAGCTCAGCCTATTTTCGAGGGGGGATGTCTCGTGGACTGAGTCAACTGGAAGGTCGTATTCAAGACAAACGGCCTCAGTAAAACGCGAATCGGCCGTCGTCTTTCGGCGAGATCGACCTTTGAGTGTCTTCATCATTCACTTTTATACGAACCTTAAGCTCTGCCATCAATGTCATGTTAGGAGAAGCATCGAAACCCAGTTACTCTTCGTATTTTCGCATATATACACGATAAATGATGTCACAGAATTTGTTTGACTCATAAATTCAAAGCGGACTCTCATCAGTGGAATCAGGACCAATGGGCATTCCTGGATCAAACGACCCCTCCTCGAATAGTTGTTGTATTCCTACCCTTACGTACACACATATTCACATATTCCTATGACATGAACTGTCATGATAAGCAGGAGATTAAGACCATTTTATAAGTCATTAATTGACCTTAAAGCTGTCATGGAATATGTAAGAAGCACCCTTCGGACCACTACACAACTTTCGTCCAGCCGATGTGATTTAAATCATAAGAAATAAGGAAAAACTGGATAGTGAAGTATACTTTAGTGATATATTGTGACATGACTTTCTATTTCGAAGAAAAAGTTGGCTAGAATGAATTCATGATGCCGTCTTACTGGAAGCAGAAGTGGGGTTGCCGTGTAGGAAAGACTGTTGGATTGTGCGAAGGAGTGCTCGGCTCACCGTCCGGCAATTCGGCCTAACCTGTGCTAGGCTGTTATCTGTACCATCGAGACAGACGTCAGAGTAAGAATGTACACTTTTCGAAACCGAGCAAAAATAGCATAAACCTAAAGAAGAACTGGCCGGCCTCAAGCCAAGTCACTATTTTGCACACACACCCAACCATGCGATCTTAAAGAGGCATCGCATGATTCGGTTGGCCTCCTCAACCTTACTCAGCATTCTTGCAAAC